TTGGATGCCAGGCCACGACTGGGCAGCCTCGCACCCCGGCAGACAGGCTGGCTGCACACCGCAGTATTTGCAAACAGCACTGCAGAAATAAACCTAACAGAACTAAATGCCGTGTACAACTGGAGGGGCCTAGATCAGCTACAGGCTTCAAGGCCCAGATACATTAGGGCTCGGTGGTTTGGAGATCGGAGCTTGAGGATTTGAGGCAGCCAACTAAGCCTGCCTTTACCCTTCATTCTCTTTATATGCTGGTCAGTCAAAACCCTGGCAACAAATCTAGAGCCAGCTGGTTACCACATTCCCTGCTTGAGGAAGCGGGTGTTTGGTAGCAATGGCTAACAGGAAAGCAGCGGAGGGCTTAACACACTGCGGGAATGCAGTGTCACTGCATCTCAAAGGATGCTTTGCCAAGCCCATAAACTCAGGGATGAATCTGTTTAAAACTGAACTTTTGGGCTGAAAATTCTCACGTGATTACAGCAAAAGGCAACAGTAAGGCTATGTCTACACTGGCGGGTTGTTACGCCAGAAGTATGCAAATGAAGCTAAGCGTGGAATATCGCTGAGCCTCATTTGCATACCTAATGAGACGCCATTTTTGCAGAAGAGGCTCTTGCAGTAGGAGAAGCTGTCTACACTGCCCCTTGCGCAAGAAAAACACTCGTGCGCAATGCCGTTATTCCTGAAAATAATCAGTGTAGAGGCATTGCGCAAGAGGGTTTTTCTTGCGCAAGAAGGGGCAGTGTAGACAGCTTCTTCTAGCACAAGAGCCTCTTCCGCAAAAATGACAGCTCATTAGGTATGCAAATGAGGCTTGGCGATATTCCACGCTTAGCCTCATTTGCATACTTCTGGCGCAACAACCCGCCAGTGTAGACATAGCCTATGTGTTTACAGACAGATATACATATAATGTATGCATGAAATCTGACAAATGTCTTAGGTGAGGAAACAACAATTTTAATGTTTGAACTTCTTAGAAATTGAATTTCCAGATTCATTTCTGGTGCTCAGATAGTTCAGAAAATTTTATGTTTTTAAATGTCAAATTTGCTAGATTTTCTGCTCAATTGCAGCTGTCATCTGAAAACCAGGCTAGCAGTTCTTGTTGAGGACAAGTGCTTGAAAAGCTATTCCTGCATATGCACATTATAC